CCAGCTTCTCTTCCAAATCCAGCTCAGACCATCAGATATTCACCGTCTGCAGCCTCGAAAGCTTTGAAACTGTGGAGACTGACAGCTGTAGAAGTCCCCGAGAGGTTTTCAGGGATTTCTCTGGCTTATTTTATCCTTCAGCACAATTCTGTCGGGTCATGTGGTTTGGCCCCACTTTGCTGCTTATGACTGAAAGTTTGTTGGTTGGATTTCAAAGCACTGAAGTGTTCAACGGCTCTGCTGTTGGATCAGTATTTCCCGCCGGATCTCTACGGGTCGCTCATAATCACTGATGTAAAGGAACGCCCTTTCTTTTTCCAATTTCTTTGCACATTCGGTTACACTTTATTTTAAGGTGTCCTTGTTACAGTGTAATTATACATTAAGTACTAAGTAATATTAATTAACTACATGTACTTACTATATGGTTAGGGTTTGTCTTAAGGTTACTTGCATGTAATTATGCATAATTAATTGTTGTTATAATAGTAAGTACATGTAACAAGGACACCTTAAAATAAAGTGTTACCGCACATTATTTTGCCTGTTTTCAATTTATACTGTCTTTTTAATATATCAATATCCAAATGCAGTTGTGGGTGTTTAGGGTTACTTTCACTTTGAAAGTCAATTCAATAAATTTCTCTTTCTGTTGTTTTTCCATTGTGGTGTTTTTCTCTTCTTTGTTGTCTTTTGATTGCTTATGAGCAATAAAATCTCCACAAGTCTACTATGGATGTAAAAAAAATTAAAAATAATGACATTTTATCAAAAAATAATTCAGACTTTTTCCTTGCAATTCCGAGGAAAAAGTCTGTATTCTGAGAAACAAATGCGAATTGTGAGATATAAAATCAAAGTTGCAAGAAAAAAGCCAGAACTGTTAAATAAAATTTGCAATTACCTTTATTTTTTATTCCATGGCGAAAAAAAAAAAAAAAAAGAATTGCAAAATGTAATCTCTGAATTTTGAGGGGAAAAGTCAGAATTGCGAGTTGCAATTACCTTTTTTATTCTGTGGTGGAAACGGTCTTCCATACTCTACAGATTCAAACATCTAAAATGATTTTATACCAGTTTGAGTATCATCTAATATAATTTCAATTAAGAAACAGTTTTTTGTGCAGATACACACGCTCATTTGCCTTCAGTAATTGATAACAATGAAAGAATCGCACAACACTTTATAGCAGTTTAATGAATCTCTCAAGTAGAATCATTTCATTTGGATGAGTTTACAGAGTGCTAGTTTGTCCATTAATAAAACTATTTACACATTTATAAATGTGGCCTGTTATTTATACAGTGACAGTTACATAAGTGGATGACAGTTGCTACTGTACACGAATGAGACAGATATTATTATAACATGGCGGTTGAGTTTCTTTCATTTATCTCTTAATTTACTTTGAGTAACAAATCATAGCAATTTGAAATCAAAGTCAAAAATTTACAAACTGGGCCCCAATGCACAATATTTACTTATTTGGTGCTAAATAGAAATACATTCGTTCTAGTGATAGTTCAGACAAAAATGAAAATTTCCTGAAAACCTACTCACCCTCAGGCCGTTCAGTTTTTTCTTCATCAGAACAGATTTGGAGAAATGTAGCATTGCATCACTTGCTCAGCAGTGGATCCTCTGCAGTGAATGGGTGCCGTCAGAATGAGAGTCCAAACAGCTGATAAAAATATCACAGTAATCCACAAGTAATCCACACCACTCCAGTCCCTCAGTTAATGTCTTGTGAAGTGAAAAGCTGCGTGTTTGTGAGAAACAAATCATGTTTGTAAGAAATTTTTAACTTCAAATCATTGCTAAAATAGGAATCTTCTATCCATAATATTGGTTTTCCAGAGGAAAAACTTGTTTCATCTGAATCAGGAGCAAAATCTGCACAGATCAAGCACCGTTTACAAGCCAAAACTGAACAAGTTCTGAACAAATATGTGGGTGGATTTTGATAGACTATTTCACTGGAGGAAGTCTTATTATGGATTATAGACTCATAATTTAACAAGAAGCAATGGTTAAAATGTCTTGATGGATTTGTTTCTTACAAACATGCCGCTTTTGGCTTCACAAGACATTAACTGATGGACTGGAGTGGTGTGGATTACTTGTGGATTATTGTGATGTTTTTATCAGCTGTTTGGACTCTCATTTTGACGGCACCCATTCACTGCAGAGGATCCATTGCACTCTAAACCCGGATAAGTTGTTTTTACTTAAAAATTTTGAGGAAACTGGTTGCCCTAAAAACATTTAAGTAATGTTTACTTGTTAAACTTGAGTGAAATTTACTTAAGCCATTTAAGTTTTGTTAACTTAATTGAATCTGTGATCTGAGGAACATTACTACTCAGAATTACTGACTCCCAGAGTGCATTGCGGCATGAATAAATTATGCAATTGCTTTGTTTTACAGTTTTTATTTTATTTATTTTATTTGCTGTCTTGTGTCAGTAGTAGCACAACAAAAAGAGCAAATAAAATGGTTATTGTTACAATTAATAAAAATAAATGAAATTGAATTGTTACCATTGTTGTGATTCGTGTGCTGAATGTTGAAGTCTGTGACTTGAGCATGTTACCACAAATATGAAAGGATTATATCAACCCAATAAAAAGCTTCTCAACGTATTCATGAAAATCAGTGAAATTGTAAAAGATTGTTAATAATCACATAACAATACACTAATGATTTAATTTGAAGATAGATCACTTTTTAAAAACAATCTATTTATTACTTTTCTTCCCTATAAGTCAAATAACTCAAATTTCATGTTGCATTGCTGCATTAACAGGAAGAAAACTATAATAATACAAACAAAGTTCCAAGTGCCCAACCAAAGAGAACGCTAATCACTGTAATGGTGAGTTAAAAAAAAAAAAAAAACATTTTAGGAAAATCAACATCAATTTATGAAGCTAGCTTATGTGATGTTCTCCCATTTCAGCTGTATTGAAAATTCAACATTCATGATGACTGGGAAACGAGTGAATGCAACTAGTGACAGATAACTGCAGACATGGAGGAAATGAGTGAAAAGTCTATTAAAGGGGTCATATGATGCTGCTAAAAAGAACATTATGTTGTGTATTTGGTGTAATGAAATGTGTTTATGCGGTTTAAAGTTAAAAAAACACATTATTTTCCACATACTGTACATTATTGTTTCTCCTCTATGCCCCGCCTTTTTGAAACGCGTCGATTTTTGTTTTATTTGCCTTGGAAGTAGCTGTAACTTAATAAAACCTAGTAAGTATAACAACTAAGTAAATATAACTAAATATATCTAAGTAAGGTAAACTATTGGATTTTACAGTGTGGTGAGCAAGTGATGGAATGCTACATTTCTCCAAATCTTTTACCATGAAGAAACAAACATTCTACATCTCGGATGGCCTCTACATTTTCACGATTTTTCACAATTTTTGGCTGAACTATTCCTTTAATCATAATGACACAAAAGGAATGCCCACATAAAAGGCAAATTATACATCCTTTAATCATTTTAATCTCAGCATACAACATTCTATAGTTACCATGGTAACAGCTGTTATTAAGTGTAAATTTAGTGTCATTGTTCAGATGTTTGTTGACAGAAAGTCACTGTAAATCCTTTAACAGATGAATTATGACAAACCGAAACATTATTTGCAAATAATGGGCTCATGACAATTATATTTCTAATTAAACACAGCAGGACGGACGTTCTCAACATTAAACACAGACGGCATCACATTGCCAGGGACTTCACAACCTCACATTATGTTGGAGTCTGGAAGCGTTTGGTGTTTTTGCACGACGAGTGGACATGTGTAATGCATTTGGTCCATTTTTATTTTATTAATATCTACCATATTTAGCTGCTCTATGAGTCTCTGTTTCATGCGCCCAATTGAGACCCGTAACACAGGAAGAACTAGAATAATTCACAGGAAGTACCGTTAGCCCCTTCCAATAATGACCTAAACCTACTTTAGTGTCCTGGAAGATCCAAATCAACCAGGTGGTTTAACGGGGTTTCTACTTGGTCTAGGTGGTTTGGAAAAGAACTACAATGTTGCAGGAAGTCAACATGAAATCAAAACCGACTCCATTTGCTTTCTGACCTTACATATATGCTACTGATCTTATAATGCACATTTTTACAAACAAGCTAAATGATCGTTCTTCACTAGGGAATGCATCTGATTACACAAGTTAAATAGAGAGTATGACCTGTTGTTTTCCAGCATTGCATCATACTGGCAAAGTTTCCGTGTGTCTGCAGAAGGGGCTGAAGAACAGGTTTTGGTGTGCGTTCATTCGTACAGCTACAGAAAGTGTCTTCGCTCTCACATCACTGGATGTTTGCATGCATAAGTCATGTGGCATATTTGGGAAAAGCATCTTCTGCTAAAGAATGTACAATGCCAACATTTGGAGAGGTTTGGTGTTATTATTGCACGTCTCCTGCCACACGCCGTGCTCACAGTGCTGGAGGATGAGGGAGGAAATGCATGCGGGAACCACAGCTTTAATCAATATCTGACCCTCTGGAGATGGAAGGAAGTGATGTCACAGAGGGCATGAAACATAAAAATAGTCAGATTGAAGGATCAGTTGCTGCAACTGGAATTGGAAATGTGGGCCAGAGAGTGAAAAACTACTTTATTTAAATAAAATTATATTTACTGATTTATGTATTTATTTATTGGTTTATTTATTTGTTTGTTTGTCAAACATGGTTAGCTAACTAAAACCATTAACCATTAAAAAATTTAAATAAAATAACCATTAAAACATAAGCTTGTTTTATTTCAGCTAGTTGCCAAGGCAACATTTTTTCCTTTTCGTTTAGTTTAATTTGAAGTTCCAAAATAACTAAAAATAAATTCTAATAAATAAAAATTTATACAAAATATACATATTTTTAAAAAATGTAAACTTTAACTAAAATTAAAATGGAAACAGAAAATATAAAAATAAAATCTAATTCAAAATATTAACAAAAACTACAATACAGTTCGAATAACGATGATATTAGTGTTTTTCTGATATGTTTCTAAAACACACTGACTCATCTAATAATGCAGCAGTCATCGCGCATGCACGTTAACGCGTGGCGGCGTCATTCTCTCTTGCTGGCGTGTGATTGGGTGAGGTTGGGCGACGTGTGATGAAGCACCAGAAGACCAGAGAGAGTAAGAGAGATGCCCACCCACCACAGGGCCATGTGCGTCTCCCCGAATATTAGCTGCCCCAGAAACGCCTGTTCAGCAAACGCAAAATGAACAGGTCATCATCATGACATAAGACATCAGTATACACTTTAACAAGCAGAAGACCTCTATCAGATTTAAACAAGATATAATACTAATAATTTTCTATGCTGAAATTGACTATTTGATTTATTTCAGGTTAAGCTAAAGTAAAACAATAACATCATTTTAAATCATTTATTTTGCATGTCTTTGTGCAACCTGAGTTGACTTTTTCCATATATAGCACAATTAGTCAAACTTGCAAACAAAACACTAATGTTTTTGAAATTGTACTATTCTAAACAATGTCTGAAATTTAGTATTGTATTATCTGCTGCGAATCGCTTGCTGTATTCCTCATTTGTAAGTCACTTTTTAGTCTGCTAAATGACTACATGTAAATGTGCAATGATGATCTATAATAAAGTGATAAATGATCACATTTCTGAATTTTTTAGTTTAAGATTACTAGCAAAGGATTTTTTGTAAATTATGAATCATTTTTTAAAATAATATTTTAAAAAAATAATTGTTTAAAATTGTACTATTTTGATTACATTTTAATTGTTGGGTGTGCCGTTTTTTAGCTACAATAAAGTGATAAATAATCACTTTGCAGTTTTTTCAGTTGTCCAAATTGCTTAGGATTTTTAAAATGAGAATTCTTTTAAGATAATATTTTTTTTAAATAATTCATCATCTAGAAATCACTCTATTATTATTATTATTATTATTATTATTTTTCGTAAGTGCATTTTTTTTAATCTACAATAAAGTGATAATCACTTTTCTGTTTTGTTCAAGATTAAAAGCTAAGGAATTAAGAATAATTTTTTAAGATAATATTTTTTAAAATATTTAAAATATTTTATCAGCTAGAAATCACTATTATTTAGAATTTTTATTTTTTGTGCGTGCAATTTTTATCTAATAAAGTGATCAATAATCACTTATATATAATTTTTTATAAATAATCTTTCTAGTTTTTCAAGATTTTTTTTAAAGGTAAGGATTTTTTTAATTATAAATAATTTTGTTAGATAATACATTCATTAAAATAATTATTTTTTAAAAAAAATCATCAGCTAGAAATCACTTTATTATCTTTAAATTTATATTTTTCGTGAGTGCATCTATAATAAAGTAATAAATAATATTTTTTCAGATTTTTCCAGTCATTCAAGATTACAAGCTAAGGATTTTATTTAAAATAGATAGATAGATAGATAGATAAAATAATTAATCAGCTAAATTCATAATTTGCATAATTCATCATTGCTCTATTTTTAATTATTTATTTAAATTTTTTGTGAGTGCAATTTTTATTAGATGCACAAACAAAAGACATTTGTTCATTTTTTTGCATTTGCATCGAATTGCACTCACAAAAAAATAAATAAATAAAAATGTAAAATTACATAAAGATTTCTAGCTTATGATTTTGTTCTTTATTGACAACTCCATGTGTTTTTAAAGATTCAGTCCATGAGGAAAGTCAGACCTGAAGCTGTGCTGATACTCACAGACGAGATGAAGTTAGAGGCGGTGGTGGTCACAGTGGTGCGGGTGGAGGAGCACGAGCTGCGGAGAGCTTTGGCCAGGAACGTCCACATCACAGCGTTACAGGTGAACAGCAGACCTCCACACAGCAGTCGGAGAGGGATGTGCAGCTACAACACAATAAAGTGGGCCAATCACAAATCACTTACCACATACTGCAATATTCACAAGTCATACATGTCTAATAGGGTTCATATAAATGCACACTGGCGGTGTAAATATATTAATGCTCAAAATTAGTTAATCAAAAGAGCGATTATAACACGTGCGCACGCTCTGCTGAAGGTCATGCGTGTTTGTCACGTAGCATCATCATCATCATCATCATCATCCCAGCAGATATGCAATAAATGTGAGTGTTATTTGAATCCTAACGAGACAGTGATTGTGTTTTCACCAGTGTTTCACACTCACCCAGTCGCAGGCGCTCGTGTCGTTCTGCTGCGTGAATTTCCTCTGCTCGCCCCACGTCCGCAGACCTGTCTCACACACGCCCTTCAGGTAGTCGGTGCCGAGAGACAGTTTGGCGGAGGAGGACGCGACCGCGCCGAGAAAACCCGCCAGCAGCGCGTAAAGGACCCCGGGAAGCATGACGATCAGAGCGGAACTCCAGAAGACCCATCACAACTCCAGCACCGCGAGCGAAAACACTCCATCAGCATCACCGCTGCGAGGAAGCGAGCGGGTCAGGTGCGTGCTGGGAAATGTAGTCCATGCGGCATTTTACGCATTATGTAAGTGAACATAAAACACACTCGCCATTTAATTTGCCCAACAGTGGACACACACACTATGTCATTGATGTTAATCAAACAACAAAAGACCAAAATAAAAAATAGGTCAATCACTGCTCTTACAAAATAATTTGTAAGTTTAATTTTAATGATTAATCTGTTTTAATTTACAGTTTATTCAATTTCTGTATAGGCTATTTCTGTACCTGTATAGGCTATTACTGTTAGACCTAAACGGTTTCCTAAATGAAATTCAGGTCCTGAGTTTAGTTGATGATATTGGTTAAATAAATTATAATATTCAGTGATGTGATCAGAATCAGAATCAGAATGAGCTTTATTGCCAGGTATGTTTACACATACGAGGAATTTGTTTTCGTGACAGAAGCTTCCACAGTGTAACAGAATGACAGTGACAGAACAAAAAATACAGATAATAAAAAAAAAAGAATAAATAAAAAATAAAAATAGAACAAGTAAATAAGGAATACAAATATATAAATTGACAATTGTATGTGCAGGTATATTACAATAGACAGTTTTGCATGTACAGGTACTGTATATTATGTGCAAATTTGAGGTGTAGACTGAGTATGAGTGTTAGATAAATAAGTGTATGAGTGTATAAATAGTGTGTGTTCCACAGTTATTGTCAAGTGTTCATGAGAACAGCTCCAGTGATCTGTTGAAGATCTGTGTGAAGATGGGGGCCAGCTGGTCAGCACAGGATTTCAGACAGACTGGTGTAACACAATCTGGGCCTGGTGCTTTTTTTTGATGATATGTTCTCTGCAAGGAGTAACGTCTGGCACGGTCGCAGCTTGTACTTATATTAATACAAATAGAAAGCAAAGCATTAATAATAATAACATTTTAGGTAACATGGTAAATTTGAACATATATTTTAATTTTTATATTACATGTAAAATAATGGAACATTAGGTTATGAATATTGTCTCAAAAGTCATGGAAATGTACTGGTACAAATGTGTACGAACCCTGAAACCTAATCCCTTTTCTGTCTGGTTTTATCAGTTAGAATGAAAAATACATAGAATCAGTTGATATGTACTGTACTGTCAATACAGTTTTATACAATCATTTTATAAATGCTTATAGATCATTAAAAATATTTAAAAATTCTTATAGATCATTAAAAGATTTATATATATCCATACCCTCTCTCTGTGAGTGTGTATCTGTTTCATGATGCTCATCATCACAACTTTTGAAAAGAAAAAAAAACATATATATATATATATTGTTAATGGTGATGAAAATCAACTGATGGAAACTGTGGCACAGTACTTTTTTAAATTCATATAAACAATTGTCACAATAAATATTGACAGTTTTAAATATGATAATATTCACAGTTTTAAATGTAACATTTTATGAATATATGGTTGTGGCCTTGTTAATGAAATTGTATAGTACTATTAAAAATGTAAATAATTTTATTCAGTAAGGATGCATTGAATCGATCAAAAGTAACAGTAAAGACATTTGTTACAGATTTCTATTTCAGGTTTCTATTTCAAATAAATTCTTTCTTTTCATCAAAGAATCCTGAAAAACTAAATGTATCAGAGTTTCCACAAAAATATGAAGCAGCACAACAGTTTTCAACATTAATAGCAATAAGAAATGTTTCTTGAGCAGAAAATCAGCATATTAGAATGATTTCTGAAGGATCATGTGACACTGAAGATTGGAGTAATGATGCTGAAAATTCAGCTTTACATCACAGGAATAAATTATATTTTAACACATTAAAATGGAAAACAGTTATTTAAAGGGTAACAATATTTCCCAATATTACTGTTTTCACTCTTTTAGTTTTTGATCAAATTAATGCAGCCTTGGTGAACATGAGAGACTTCTTTCAAAAGCAAACAAATATGCATTCATGAATTAGATAAATTGATAAATTGGTTCAAAGATGTTCCAGTGAAATTCTGAGAATTCTTTGTCTGTGGAAGGAGAGAATCAATGCTAATGAGATGATTCTCCATTCTCAGATAGATACAGGAATCATGACCTTATCAGACACATCAGAGAGAGATGCTCTCGGATAACTCATCATTCCCATTAAAGAACTCCAACGACATTTAAAGAACATTTGTTTCCACCCAAGAACTATGACTATAATAAGCGATGGACGGTGACTTGATGGAGATCAGATTCTGATCTAAAGGGCATTATAGACCTCTCAATGGACTGTTCTTATCTTACTTATAAATATTGAATGTTTTTATTTGTATTTTACATCTTTATTTTTATTTTAGTCAATTTTGTTGTTTTTGTAATATTTTTAGTTATTTTTTTAAATATGTCCATACAGCTTTTATTAATTTTTTATTTTTTTTGTTTTGATTAAAACTAAATGTTGCTTTGGCAACCCTCTGTTATTTTGGGAGGTATATTATTGGTGTTATGTATCTGTGAGGCCAGTAGAGGACACTAGATTCACTCTGTTTGTGCTCCGGACATGAATGATACGGTGGCCGAGAAGTGCAAAGCAAATCACAATTCTGAAAACAAAATAACAAATTACAAACGCAAATGCAAGTCTAAAAAACAAAATAACAATTCAGAAAGCACAACAACAATTCAGAAAACATTATAACAAGTCAGAAAACTCCCTCAAATCACATGTCTTGTTTAGGAGGTTTGTGGAATTATCACTGTTCTTTTCTCTGTGTTAGCTGATCATGTTTCTCAGTCTTCTCTGTCATTAGGAAGCGCAAAGCTTCTACTTCCTCTTTTCTCGCTTCTTCATCTTCCCCTGCCAAGTTTAACTACCAGACGGAAGTTCTGTGATCTGATCAGTCTCAGTTCAAGAAACATCTCAAAAATAAAAAGAGCAAGTCGTGAGATTTAAAAAGTTTGCAAAACTTTTCTTTGCAAAACTCCTTTAGCATCTTCTCTGAAATCAAGCAAACTGGAAGATTCAAGCTGCTTGAGGTCATGAGCTGCATGTTTTCATCTTCAGCAAAGTCTGAAGTTTCTCTCAGAGTCCAACGCATATCCCTCCAGAGATCATCTAACTCTTAGACTCTCTCATTAGCACAATAACACTTGTTGAGAACATGAGAGAACAGAGCGAATGCCTAAGGGACAGAAAATCCACCAGCTTGAGTTTCTGTGGAAGATCCTCCGATGAACAACAGACAGAAGCAATTAAAGGTCGTCACAGGTCACCATCTCTGCCAGACTACAAGGATAATTAGCCTCTTATGTGCAAGATTTCCTTCCTGAAAGTGCAAAGAACATGAGGAGTTAAAGGGTTAGTTCACCCAAAAATGAAAATTAGCCCATGCACAAATTACTCACCCTCAAGTCATCCTAGGTGTATATGACTTTCTTCTTTCAGACAAATCCAGTCGGAGTTATATAAAAAATTGTCTTTGATCTTTCAAGCTGCAACTCAGCGGGTGTTGCATGCATCAGTCCAAAAGAAGTTAAATAAAAAGCACCCATCCATAAAAAAAAGCATCTCACACGGCTCCGGGGGGTGAACAAATGCCTCCTGTAGCGAATCGATGCGTTTTTGTAAGAAAAATATCCATATTCAAATCACTTTAATGTAGCTTGCGCCAACAGTCCTACACTGAAGCAGTTCCGGGCTGATGACGTACGAGTTTAGCGTTGCGCATGCGCCGGTGAGTCTCGTGAAAACCAACGTTTGTTATCAGGAGCAAAGGAAGCAAAGTTTCCTTACTTTAGCAAAGGAAAACCAGTCTCCTCTTGGCTTATATCGAAATCCTCCGACATTATTCTTTACAAATCCTCGTTTTGTACTTCTAATTAGTGACCGTTGTTTTGTTTTGAACTCTCCGCTGCGTTTCCGTGTGCATCACTTCTGAGCGGCGCATGCGCAAAGCTGACCTCATACGTCATCCGCCCGGAGCTGCTTCTGTGTACAACTGTTGGTGCAAGCTACATTAAAGTGATTATTACGTTTTGAATATGGATATTTTTCTTACAAAATGCATCGATTCGCTACAGGAGGACTTTGTTCACCCCCCCGGAGCCGTGTGAGACACTTTTTTTATGGATGGGCGCTTTTTATTTAACTTCTTTTGGACTGATGCATGCAACACCCGCTGAGTGGCATTAAACTGGATGGATGGATGGATGCTCCTCATGTAAAGCCTTCAGTCGAGGCTCTACTGTCATGTCTCTCTGTTCAGCAGCTCTAAGAGATCCAGTGCTGGACGGGGGACCTAATTTGACGGGACCTTCTCCGCTGGAACGACTTTCATTGTGAGCATGTCAAGGCCAAATATAGCCTACGTCACAGGCGTATGCTGCTTCAGATGGCAGCAGAGCGAGCGAATGACAGCACCAGCATCAGCAGACACATGCCAAAACACTGCAACATCTCACCACGCATAATCACATGTGCTCACATGTGTCTCTGCAGCTGATAATTCAAAAGACTATGAATATCATCTGAAAGCAGAATCTGATCTGATGTGCATTTCTTCCATTCTTATGAATTAATCAGATGCATTAAATAAGAGATCAGAGAGCTGCATTAGAGTCCAGACCCCTGCCTTACGTGCATTTGCATAAATTAAACATACGTAAATGTTAATTATGAAACCTAACAAAATGTTATACTCTTGTGATAAAGCATAAAACTGCTTAATATTTCAGTAGTACAAGAAGAAAGTAGTCTTTGTTTCCCTGGAAACCATGAGGCAAATATTTATACAGGAGAATACAGGAGATCATTAGGATTGTGTGATTGTGAGCAGATGTTCATCATCATCATCATCATCATCAAAATGTGCTGGACAAAAAAAAATGTCAATAAATGTCAATAAATCAAACACTGAACAAAGAAATTACATCTTTAAAATTTTCCCTGCTGCACTGACACAGTTACACAACACAGACTGAACGTTCATCCCTCACATTCACATATAATCAACATCTGCTGCAGC